GCCTCATATGATAAGGGATCACAGGAACTATATGAGGGGAGAAAGCTCCCTCCTTTATGGTCTCAAAGGACCAGAAGCTCTCAAATTTTCCTTAAAGTGAGCTTTACCTATCCCAACCTCCCACCTTGCCAAAGCTTAATGTCAGTCTCATGTAAGAGGCTTTCAAAATGCCAATAAGCACCACTTYACCAAGCAAAAAATCCCACCCTTTCAGTAGCCACAAGGTACAAGACAAATTAACCACTTGCCCAGGCTGCTTTGATGCACAGATTCCCTTTGTTTTGTTTAGGCTGTAAACTATTTAGGAGGAGATCCTCGCATTTAGGCGGCTCAAACGCCAYGCACGCTTCCAGCCCTGCCGCGTCAGGCTCGTCACTCCCAGGCAGACAGCCAGAGCTCCGACGTTTCTGCTCCCAAGGACTGAGCAGTTTCGCATGCCCTTCCCTCACCTATATTTTATAGGTTGGCTCCTTTCTGTCTCCGTAAGGAGTGTGTAAGTTATCTCCGGCGCTTTAGGAGCCAACCAAATAAGGAAACAGTTTCCTTTGCTGAGCTGGTGTTTTTACGTGCCCCCAGCTTGCTGTGACCCCGAGCCTTTTTTGAAAATCCAGGGGGTGGCCAAGGGGGATGGAGCTGGRCTAAATATTAGTCAATTAACGATTTCTCAGCAAAACACAACTGCCCCAGTCCTACATCTTCCAAACCACAGAAGAATTTTTCTTTCAAAATACTTTCCTCGCAGTCAGCAGTCTGCGCTCGCCTCTCCCCCTCTGCTCCACCCGCCGTTGTCAGATCTGCTTCTGGAAAAAGTCTCCCTGTTCCAGCAAGCAAGGCATTAATTCAACATGGACTTTTGTTTTTGCTTGTCTGAATGTTCAACAGAAAAAAGGCTGCCCACTGTTATCACATCTCTTCCTCTCTCAGCAGCACCTCTTCAACCTTGGTCATCCCACCCTCCCCATACACTTTTATATCTATTGGCATTGCTTTTTCCATTTAAAAAAGACAGTAATGACATTTCTCAACTCTTATGACAGTACATGCTCTTTCTTCAACCAGCAAGGAGTAATGATTTACTAATTTCCTTGCAGCATAGAGAGAAGAGCGCAAATGAGGCAGAGGAAAAACCTCACGAGTCTGAAGCAGCTCTGTGTCACCTGCATTCTGCACTGCAAAGCAGCCTCATGCCGCAAGTGGCAGATGTTTCATAAGCTGCAAAGACAAGGAAAATAGAAAAGCCTAAAGCAACAACTCCTGTCAGTGAAGTAATGCAGGGCGTGCTGTGCTCAAAGGATGGGAATGGGTAACACAAACACACCAGCCATGGCAGGCCATGGTCCTAGGTAACAAGSTCTTTCCAAAGCTGGAAAACTGCCTACAAAAAGAGCAGTCTAGACTAGGAAATGGGGCTCAAGGCCAATGATCAGGCACTGCTGCCTCTAGTCCTGATCTCTCTCCCCAGCAGGTTCCCTTGCTCCTTAAATCAGATCAGCAAGAGGAAAACCCACTACTTTTACGTTAGGGTTTTGAGCTCTTAACAGGCTCATTTGGCAGAGCTTCAGCCCCTGTGCTGCTGTAGCGCTGCTAGGAATAAACCCAAAATCCTTCCCTGTCTTACCCCAGCTCCAACTGAGGCCGTTGGGCATGAAACCAAAGCAGCAATAACAATTTATGTCAAATATCTGGTGTACAAAACAAGCATGTAAACCTCCACTTTGCCCAATCAAACTGTAATTGCACAAATGACTTCTCATGAAATTAGCCTGTAAACAACCTTAAGTCCTCTTCCAGGGCAAGTCCCAAGTAAACGTTTGTAGAAACAGCATTTTACCCTGTGCAGAGAACATTAGCTCTGCATGGATTGAGAGTCTCTGACAAAGGCCAGTACTGAAGGAAACTACAAAGACTTCTCAATCCATATTTCCATTACTCGTGTTTGATAACGTATAGACAAGAGTTTAGAAAAATTTACCACAAGCAATACTAAAATACAAAAAAACCCAAAAGCTCTGCAGCTACACAAGGAACAAATCAGTGTAATATTAGATCTCAGCACACCATGGACAGTTTTAAAGAGAAATGCAGCAACAAATTCATCTGTGCAGCAACAAATGTCATCTGTTTCTCCTTGCCGAAACAGACTGCAGCTGTTCTTGCTGCAGAGCTTTTCAGCTTTACAAGTAGCACTACCTAGATATCCAACAAGTTGTCTTTCATCTTTCTCATTTACAGCCCCAATAACATTGCTCCCACGTATCTGAAACGTTGGGACATGTAGCCTTTTTAAGGGGCCTTGGAAAGGAATAAAAGAAAGTCTTGTGCCAGTAAAGTGGTTTTATCTTGATGCTTCCCCCACTATTAGGTGGCCTTTTCCAAAGAGGCAGGCACCATTTCCTTCTCAACTCAGGTTTTCTCAGTGTTTTCATCATCCAAAGACACATTTTGAGTTCCTCACGCTCTGCTGCAGTCACAGGACAGGAGATACCATTGAGAAATACAGATACATCATTGCTCCTGCATGGCGCAGGACTCATTTGAGGTGCCCATGTTGCAAACAGGACATGGGCAAGACCCAGCCCAGCTGTCATACCAGACTACTTTAAACCCTGCTTTAGGAACGGGGAACGAAGCACCTGCATAGGGAACAGCTCAAGTTCTGTGTGCAGAAGTTAAGACAGTCAAGGCTTAGCAGTCACTTGGGAAATCCTGGCCTTCAGACTGATATTTAACCCCTTTTAACCAATTCTGTCTCAGAGTTGGTTGGTACCCAAGCACAGAGGCGAGCATCCTTCAGAGCTTGCTTTTAAACTCCAATAAACTCTTGGAGTTCGCCTTTCCTAGCGCTCCATCCGTGTCCAGCAGAACTTCGCTGGGTGGGAAGAATTTCAGCCAAAACGTTGAATTGAATTTATTTTCAAGAGAGAGGCCAAGGGGGGGAAGGGAAGCTGTTTTGCCTCTGTGAAACATCCTGGCAGCCTCYGGTGCAATAGTCCCGGTTCTTCTGCGCTTTGGAGCAGAGCCGTGAAGGTTGGCAGGGGGTGCGTGTGCACTTTGTGAGGTCTGTCATTTCTGTGCAAATCCACCCAAATTTGGCCTTGTTAGAAGCCTGCTGGGATGGGAGGGAAAGAAGAGAATCTCTCCTGACCTCATATAAACTGTGATCTGTTAGATAGCAGCAGCCTGCACACCCAGAAACTCATACTTTTCTTCTTTACACTTGCATTTTAGAGGAATAGATGTCTGCACGGGCACCTGAAGACGCTACCATCTCCAGCCTGTCCCACAACACTCCAACCAGTGTCTCCTCTACTTCCTACCAAGCTCCCTAACCTATTTCAGCTAGCATTAAACTGCTTATGTATTTAACTGTGACTCAGAGGCAGTAAGGAAAGCTCATACAAGCAGCTCAAAGAAGATGTCTYTGCCCCTTGAGATGCTACAGGCTGCACCAAGTTCAAGGGCTAAGATCTGGTCCAAGATAAAGCACACATTCCCCAACTGCTCAAAAACCCTGCATTGCTTGGGGCTAACAAGGAAGAAATTGTTATGGAGAAAGGCAGAAGTGCAGGGACATGTGGTGGGGAAGACTGTCTGAGAAGACAGTGTGACCAGAGAGGACACGTCTTGAGAAGACATGGACAAAGAATGAGAATAAGAGTGCAGGAGTTAATCACTCTGGAGAGGGAAGAGGAGGGAATGCAGCTTAGGTCCTTGAGTCTTACCAGTCTAAAGGAACGATCCTACAGCCTGGGGATTTTATGGAGCTTTGTTTATAATATGATATGAATAGGAAATATTTGTTTAATCCAGTAAAACAAGTGTTTAGACAACTATTACTCCCTGGATTGCTCAGCAAAGGGCTGAGTACCCAGTAAAGGACACTTTACTGGAAGTATCCAGTACAGTATCCAGTAAAGGGCTGTACATTCAAAATAACGAGTTCCCAAAAATCTTGCCAGAGAGGAGCAAGCACTACAAGCTCTTCAAGCCAGCATGTGTGCTTATGGGCTGCACTGGGATTCTGTCACCTTCGGGCTGTAAAGCTGAGAAGAGACCTTGTCTTTTCAGTGTAGTTCTAGCAGGTGCAGGGTGAAGCCACAATGAACAYACCTCTGGTTATACTGGCCACCCTCCCACCTCCTGAAACTCTGAAGAGCAAGTGTAAAATAAGCCACCAAAACGCCCTACGTGCTTGCTATCTGCATGCATCTGCACAAAGAACAACAGAAGTTTGCAACTTTAAATGTACACTCCTCCTTTTCTGCCTTGCCCCTGCTGACCCCCACTTCCACACACACACACASAGAGAGAGGTGCARCCAACACCAGATGTGCATAACTCTGCAAGAAGGGGGAAGTTGGTAGAAAAAGGTACTTTTTCTCCTGCAGAGATGGATCACGTGCACTGGAGAACACTTGGTTTGATATAAACCCCAAACTGTACCCAAGTAGAGTTTTGAGACAAAAGGTGTTTTTCAATAAGACCTGCACCAGAAGATTCACCAGAATCTCCCAAACTTTTTGGAGAAGTCAGTCTATAGTATCAAGTATTACTTGCAAGACAGAGAAAACTGGAACAATTTCATCTTTCCACACCAAGCACTTTTCCAGTACGCTCATCTCTGACCATGGCTCCTTGGCTTTCTTCTCATTTTATAGCCCTGAAAGTATCACTTCTTATTGAGGTAGGAAAGACTGAGTACACATGTGCCCAAAAGTTAAAACACAACAGATGTGAGCATCCCCAAACTGCACGAGGAGCCAGACTGCAGGATTTCACTCAGTCAAAACCCTTCAACATTTTCAGTGTCTAACCAAGACACCCTCAAGCTTCAAGGCATGAAACGAACACCTGAACTCCRGAGTTTGGTCTCTCCCTGGGAGAACAGCAAAGATCCAACAGCCAAGGCAGGCAGCCACGCTGTCCTGGCACACTCTGCAACCCAAGCAGCAGCTCAGCCTTTGCACCCTACAGGGCCCGTGCCAGAGCAAGCTATTCACCTCGACTCTGCTGCCTGTTGACTATCCCGCCCAGCGTCCATCGCCGGTCCAGGCGCCTCAGGTGAGCCTTGCGTCGCTTAGAGACTAGTTTGGAACATGGATGGAAACACAAAGAAAACAAAATGATGGAAGGGTGAGGAATAAAACCAAAATATGGCAATTACAAGCACTGGACTTGTTAGCAGAAACAGGCTAGGCGGGATGCAGAAACTATGGTTAGTTTATACAGTATGATGGAACATGTTAGATTCTTGAGCCTGAGCAGTTGATCCTTGTTAATGTCTTCTAAAAAAAGATATACAGAAAAAAAGAGCTGTACAGCTAAAGGAAAACATGACTGTGGATGCTGGAGTGACAGGACAGACCAATATGGTTGCTGCATATCCCACTTAGACCACAGGATCTTTGGATTTTGGTTGCAATAGCTAACACAACAGAGTTGCAACCCTAAGAAAATTACTTCACTGCAAATCAAAACCAGGAATCAAAAATAGGAATAATAAGAAAAAGCAGTTTCCATTATGTGGGTTCTTTTTTGATGGCAACACTCAAACTGATCCCAAGTGACAAATGTCTGCCTCTGCATTTCCAAGGCTTGACGCAGGATCCCTGTCGCAGCCAATGCGCACAGTCCAAGCCTCAGCTTCTAATATTATGTTGATTATCAACATAAAGAAAATACTAACCTTACTTTTACTGAAGAGGCTCAAGAAGTCAACATGCCAAAGCTGATAATTAGTTTCATACTCAAAGAATAGTTTGTACTTAAAACAAAAAAATGAAGACACTTATGAAAATGACACTGTCAAAGTAGCTGTGCACAGAGGACACCAGTTGCTTTCCAGGTCACAAATGCGAAACTCCTTTAGATCCTTCTTCTGTATGTCAAGGKGTGAATAACACAGTAACCTTTGGGCTGAAGTGGCAGACAAATACTCTTTTACTCAGAGGCTTCCAAAGTAGTTTTACAGCTTGAGAGCTCCTATAAATAATGCAAGATACTGCATTGCACTTCCAGCAGCTATTCCTGGAACACAGACACAAGCAGTTCCATTACCTACACTGGRAAAGCTAGTAATGAACTTAGATATTGTGATGATTATTGCAAGTCATTCGATTCTGCCTTTTTTTTGCAGTGATTTTGAGAATATGCTCTCAGACACATGGAGTAGGCACCACCAGTCACATTCAGGAAAGCAATCTGCTCAGAAGAAGGATTTTTTTTTTTTTTTAAAGCAGCTGGTGGCTTTTTGCCCTTCATATGTGCCAGAGACTTCAAACTTCTATACCTCGCTCATCCTCTTCAGTTTTTCCCTTGCTGTAAGGACTAAACATTCCCTAGTCACCCTAAGTGGGTGTCCTATAGCTGATGATGAACATGGTCGCATCATCCAAAACCAAGTTTTGGTACCTTTGGTCTTCCTTTGCAATCCCCACATGATCAAAATAGATCCCAAAAACAGAAGGGCACAGCAACTTGAGGGGGTCAGAGCTACCAGCCCAATTCTGTTCTAGAAGATCTCTGAAGTAAAGGGGCTGTTGGTTTCCAGGCCTTACTAGAAGGCCCAGTTGCATTTGGCTGGTATGAGTTAAAAATCCTTAGTTTAAATTCAGCAGAGAACCACTGATTTTCAGAGGAGCTGTAGTTCCAGATTTCTGATTTTTGGAGATCACCAAGTTCTTTTGACCACAAACACATCAACCCTCTTGGGCTAAAAGCCCATGTCAAGACAAAGCCCACACAGAACAGTAGCCACCTTCACTCCGTTTGCATGTTCCTTGCCTGTTGGTTTAAACTGGTAACTTTCTCCAAACAAACATGCCATCAGAACACCAATTGCACATATGGAACATGAGAGGCAACACAGAGCACTTCAGCAGACACGTAATTATAGCAGAGACAGAAGCTAAAGCTAAATTGGTAGCAAGACAGAAACAGAAAGCTTCCACCTAAAAGGAACAGATGAAAGAGTCACCTGAAAGGCTCGGGGGAAGCGGTAGAGAATTTTTTTATTATTGTTATTATTTTAAACAGGTTTCAGCAGAGATAAGTTACCCAAAACTCTTAATTTTCAACAGGAAAAGGGAGGATTTGGCCATAGGGGAGCATCCCTCTGAACATATTTAGGTGTCCCCCAGTGGGTCACACAGATTGCTGCACCACAGGTGCGGCTCCTCTGCACCCAACACAACTACCCCCAGCAAAATCCCCTCCATGCCACGGAGGTTTTTTTGATCCCAGTACGTTTTTTTCCCCTGCTCTTGATGCTGAAATTTGCTACTTGATCCCAGACCTGAGCTGCGTTGGTCACACTGCAGTTAGCCAGAGGAGTTATTTATCCACTAGTGTCTAATCCCTTCACGGGAACATTTTAAGATGTTTGCTTTAACAGCTCCTGTGGCTGCAAGCGTTTCCTTACGTCACTTTTGGAGTGTTTCCAAGCTTCACAAAAGGGTGTTGCTCTAAACACAGGTGCAGGTAGTGGTCATCTGTATACCCTCAGCCCTGGGAACAAGGGGCAGGCTCAAGTGCAGGAAGAAAACTTGCCTTTCTCCGGGAAATGGACAACTATAGACACATGGAAATTGGTGTTTRCATACAGGTAACATTATGAGTAAGTTGCTTTTAGCATTGCCATGTTTTTACAAGGACCTGCCATACAAAATGTGGCCATACAAGCAGCCTGCCTAGCTATAGTAAGGTGCAAAAAGCTTTAAGTCCTCCGCAAATGGCTTGAGAGGCTGATTTGGGAAGCTCCCTACACTGGTGTTTCTGTCCTTTTACAGCAGCCAGAGCACAGATGCAGGCAGAACATCCACAGGAGTCATTTTGAAAGTTTTATAAACCCTACATCTGATGGCTAGAGTACTTTATCCACTTAAAGCACCTTCCTCTTCAGTTAGATTGAAGCCCCCTTCTCCTGCATACTGAGGAGTGAGCTGTTTGGGTAAGCTCTGCTGCACCACGTTATTTATGTTYACTTTTACACACTTGTCTGCTCTATGGGAAAAAGTTTGTTATTGTTCTCTCCACTTACTGAGTATCTCTAATACTCCTCTCTCCTAATATCAGTCTGAAGCCATTCCACTATGCAGCAAGGAAAAGAGCCCAGATACAGGAGAACTACAAGGRGGAGAGCAAGAAACAAAACCCTCTCAGTTTATGAGCTTAAGAGCATAAAACAAAGTTACWGAAAACCAGGTGGAAGCCAGGGCACATCAAAGCAACTGCAGAAGTAATGCAGTTAGATGTGTCACTGGAATGGCACTGAGCTGAAAGGAAAGCAGAGYCTCAGTTTCAGCATATGTGGATGTGCAGTAAGGCAGGGAAAGCAACTGCTGAGGATAGCAGATGAGAGCAGTTCAACAGATTAGAGGGGACACAGAAGAGATAAGGGACATTTGATGGGTTTTTCATTACCCAGGACAGAGTGCTGTGTGGCCACAACCCTAGGCAAAGTAAATTCCAGAGGACAACATAAAGGAAAGCTTGAAGTTAGAGTGTGTTAGGCAATAAGGCTGACCAAACATGCACCATATTTCAAAGTAAAACAAAAAAAAAGAAAAAAAGAAAGGAGGAAGCTACAAACCAACAGATAAGGCAGCCTTGATCTCTTCTGGAATACTGCAGCATGTTTTTGGTCTTTAACACAGGGGAACTTCACTAACTGCTTTTGCATCTGCTAAAACGTTGCATCATACCAGACTGACTCCCTGCCTACCAGTCCACAGTCAGTCTGTCTYGAAACCCTAAGTGACCCAGGATATGTATAGCTTTGAGCAGGGAAAAAGGAGTGACACAGCCAAAGTTTTGGATAAGCCACAGAYGTCACCCTTGGAGCACAGCATAAAGCTGTTTTGCCTGTGTACTTTCCTAATGGGCAGACCAGTCAACCCCAGCCCACCTCTCAACCTCCTATCTGTGCTAAGGAAGGCGGGCCGTGTTTCCACATATGCTTCTCATAAGTTTCACACCAACAGCACCTAGAAATTTAGCAAGGGATTCATTAGACTTGTGCAAATCATACTAAGTGTCCTTTGTACACATTGCTACMTGAGCATCCCATTAAGATGTGGTTAAGCTTTCATAACGGAACAGAAGAACATGCAAGGTTGTAATATTCCATTTCTGGAACCCAAATTAAGCATCTTCAGACAGAAAGGAATKCAGCTAAATGCATATACATGTCAAATGACATCTGCTTTTATAGAATGAGACCACACCAAATACAGTTACCTTTGCACACAACCAAAGACCATAGCAAAGAGCARAACAGCTTCAAGTAACGAGCCAAAAACTTGCAATGAGATGCTACCATTAAAGCAAGATTTAACTTGTGATTYTGTGTGGTCTTGTGGCTCTAAAAATAACCTTCAAATCAAAGTTCTTGCTTCTGTGATTTCTGCAACTAAGCCATGCAGGTTCTCTCCTTCAGTGGCAGGACACAGCAGCTACAAGAACATGCTGCTTGGAGTGTGAAGATCTTGTGTAAAAGTTGCTTGATATCTCTGATTAAGTGCATCAAAGTGACCATCATCAGGCTTTTGAACCACTTCTTATATTGCCAGCCCAAGCTGGTCACAAACAGATCATGGGCTTGTTACCTTATCCCAGTTTCTTCAGAAACAGATTAGCCAATGATACAAGATATAATCATCTACAGCACCAGAGAGCAAGCACAAGGAGCTACGAGGATTTTCAAAGTAGTAGCCTTTCATACGAGAAAGGGTGAGCTAATACCAATTTCCCCTGGATAGGAAAAAACTTTCTATACCTTCCCCCATTTTCGATGTGTTGATGTCCGAGTCATCTCTGGTTCCATTTTGGGATTCCAGGTACGTAGCAGGGACCCAGCCCTGCTCCTCTGCTGTGCTCACAAACCACCAGCCTGCAAGGGGAAGAAGCAAGAAGAGTCATTCAGACAGCAGTAAGAAACATAAAAAGTGGGGTGCTACTGAGAAGCAGACACCTTAATATCCAGGTTTCCATCCATGTCTATGGAAGTGCTAACAATGGCCAACAGTCACCACCAAGATATCTTTTAAGTTGTGTTTACACGAGGATATTCAAATCTATAGGTGAATCATGTTTTGGTTAAGGGCATCCCAGTCATAACTACCTTCATTTCTCCTCTTATTTGGCTACACTGATTTATTGAATCTTCATTAGGTCTCACGTAAAGTCACTCACTCAGGAGAGCCTGTGCCTTTCAGCTCTTAAGATAAACTGCATTCAGCTCCATGTTGGCAAGGACAGAACTATAATAAGAGACAGTAACAAGCCAAGCAGGTAAAACACTTCTGTTTTCTATATTTYCTCAGTTTCCCTCCAAATGCAAATTACTTTCTGTATAACAGAAAATATTATTTAACACTAGTTTCTTGCCATGCAACATTCTACTTCCTTGAAAAAGGGAAAAACTATCCGAAAGTGCTCAGACCATCATTTTCAGTGACCCGTGTTTGTTCCAAATCCTGTCACAGAAGATTTTAGCAGAAGGACAATACTTGTAACCCCTCCTTGCCTGCAGGCTCCAGGAAGGAAAATGTGCCCCCATGTCCCGTTCCCTCTCGCTAGCCGCAGCACAGCTGCTAGGTAGCACTATTTATTTGCCCTCAAAACTCAGACACGGCTTTCCATTTTCTGGCCCAACAGAGATTTGGAAACTTTGCTTCACAAGGCTCTTGGTTGGAAAGTTTAAATTTAGTTATTCTTCCTCAGCAGGAGGTGAATTCTCCTGCCACGAAGCCCACAGCAGCGAACACACACRATCTGCCAGACCGTTTCAAAAACACATCTTTATGGATGTTCCTTATTTTACCAGTAATGCATCAACATGGGTAGCAAACACAGTTTAACATACACTTATAATTAGGCACAAAATGTCAGAAGCTGGCTTTCAGCTGAGACCAATTAGACTGGAACAGTTTATATAAACTCTTCCCCAGAAAGAAATTAAACACTATTGCACAAAAGACTTCCCCACACTTGGGCCACCTTCAAACCTTAGCAAAACTGCGTCTTTGGAGGAATTAATCTCAGCCTCGGCAGTACCCAGCACTAGCCCAGTTCATAACACATTTCCACTGGGTTAGATTCCTTAGGTGCCTTAAAGCGGACCTTAAGTTCTCGTATTTGGGCTCAAGCTGTAGCTAATCCATCCAGATACAGCTCCCTGTTATAAAGCAGCCACCCCGTTCCACTGCCATCCCAGCCTCTGGAGGGCCATAGCACCAACACCAAGACTGACCTCATCTGAGGAGTAAATGCCTAAAGCCAGGTTATACTTAGGCAAGTTKTGCAGTCAAGGGATTCAACCAATCCCTCCCTGTTGCATAGCCTGCACATTGCAAGCTGGAAACCTCTTCTGCTCCTGAAAACATCACCAAGGTGAAAATTCCTACTTGCCACAGACTCAAATCATTTCTCCCACTGAAGATTTTATTTAAGATACTTAATGCAAGGGTACAATGCAGACCAAAACCCTCTGCTGTAACCAAACCAGCAGTGTGTGTCCAGGCTTGAAGAAAGCCTGCCCCAGCCAGCACTGAAGTTTTCTTCACCATTTTGAGCTTGTTTCTCAGGACAAGAGCTTTAATGCAGCTCATATGAGTAACCTGTCTACAGCAGAGGGGTGGGGGGAGAAATGGAAGGTGTTTCTCTAAATAACCTGGACACTGAAAGGCCTGAAGAAGACCCCCCAGCAGGAGAAATGCAGAGGGGGTGATGCTCAGAAGCAACATGCGAGGTCTCAAGGTGGTTAAGCAGACCTTGCAGCGGTAGTTTAGCCCCGATGAGCTGAAATTCTGATTTACTGTGGTACCTGTAAAGCCTCAGCCCTGCAGAAAGGAAGTTACAGCATAGGGGAGGAATTGCCAGCTCCTTAGCAGGATAGGACTGAAATGCTGCACTAYAACACAGCCTACGCACGACAACCACAGCTCCAGGAGACATCTCTGCCCAGCTGATAGCAGGGAGCTTACCCTGCATGCTCCTGAGCACAATCCGCTCACAAGTAAATAAATATATATATATTTTAGGGGAGTTGTCCCACCACACACACTTTTCTTTTGCACACGTTCAGAGTGCTCATGAGCTTCAGACAAATCCGAGAGATTGACTTTTCTTTGCCAAAGAGTCATGGCTTTAATAGAGCAAACAACTCCTTGTCCTTTCACTGCCACTCTGCCCAACCCGAGCAGCCCAGAAACGCTGTTCGAAGACTTCTTTTGAAGCACTGAACAAAACACTGCATTTATTTTGAGTTCTCTTGCTATGCTGGAGTTGAGCTCAACTTCACAATCCATTATTAAAACCATTCTGTAGCAACATCTGCAGGGAATTATGTAAAGTTATCTCTGTGCACTGCCAAGCCAGTCTGAGCTTAGCTCTTGCACTCACACCATCTGTAAAAATTAGGCTGTGCCTTGCAACTTGAGTTAACCCTTACAGATACCCTCCCATCTCTCAGGCAGCAAAATCCAAAACGCTCCAGCTGATGCAAAGACCAAGGTTGTCACCTGGCCCTGTAATGAGGGCTCAGAGTCTCACAGAAGATGCTCAGGGAATTAGAGCCATTGCTCCCAGACCAAGCTCAGCTCAAGTTCTGCTGCATTACTCTAGAGTTCCCCCCCCAATCACAACCCCAAAACAGGGATTTCTAAGGTGGGCAGATAACATRGTCTGTAAATATATCGACATTTCTGTTGGCATCTGTCAGCATCCCTAGCTGCAATAGCCAAGGTGTCTCTACACCCACAGGGTCCAAGTCTGACACTTTTGGCACACATCTCCCTCAGTTACTGAGAGATGGAAGTCCAGCACGCAAGGCAAGCTGATGATAGCAAGATAGATGAGTTCATTTTCCAGCGTGACCAGGGACAATAAAATACTCTGGTCCTATAAATCCTGTTCCTGGTATTAATCATATCACCAATTATTTTCCCCAAAAAGCATTTWAAAAAATTAACAACTGTCACTCCCAACCCACGTCATGGCAAACCATGAGAACATCGTTAAAGAATTATATTTTATGCATTTTTGAATGTTGACATGCATCCTCATTCACCCATGCTTCAACATTGCCTCCTTTTCCACATAAATAGGAAATTAGCTACTTCTGCTCAAGTCTATATATTCACAAGATGTTAGAAATTATTTTTAAATAACAATATCATGCTGAACACTGTCTCCCTTCTCCCCTCAGCAGACTCTCTGAGCATTTTTTCAGTAGATTTTAATTCTTTTTTGTGAGCCTAAACAAAACAAGCAGGACAGCCAGCTTAATAAAGACAAGCAAGCAAGCAAAAACAAGCAAGAGTGCCAGCCAGCCAGTTAATAAAAGGGAATGAGACCCTGTCCTACAGGAGTGGACTATGCAGGTTTCTGAACAAATACTTAAATAGCTCCATCTCTTGAGAAGTCTTCATGGGGAGGTAAAAAAATGCTAGAGGGGCAGTCGGGTACATCTGACATGGGCTCTTGCTTCAGAGAACTGTTCCCTTCACAGAACTGTTCCCTTCAGAGAACTGTTCCCTGCTGCTTTGGAGCAAGAGACCTCAGAATACATAGCTCAATAACTCCAGCCTTCCCTGTGAAGCAGCACTAGATACAGCCAGCTCTCTTCCAAGTCTGGCACACAGACCTCCCCATGCCAATGGCTGATTATTTTCTTTCTTTAATGAAGCAGATTGCATCTCTGAAGAACTGCTGCACAGATGAAGATACCGGCTTTTTCCGGCTCTCTTTGGCTCCGGCTTCCCACGCAGAATATGTATATTTGATGCACACAGGGAAGTCAGGCATAATTGGCTTGGACAAACCTCCAAAGAATATGCAGAAGCAGAAAGATAAAGACATCAGAAGCAGCATTTTGCAAGAGGGATTTTCTGTATTAAGTGTATTCTCACACCCACTTCCTGAAGATCTACTGCAGCTTCCATACGCTGTTCAAAATGATCATTGTGTGTGCTGGCTCGGGTCTCCGAGTACGGCTGCTTTAGTCCCCCACACTTGGCAAGACTGTAGGATTGACAGCATTCAAGCTGCATGAAGCCTTATGGCTGATTCCACAGCACTTTACCCCTGCGATTCACAGAAGAGGCATATTCCCAAGATGAGACACATGCAAGAGGTCCTACTAGCGCGGAGCTGACTGGGGAGGTGGAGGTACAGAGGTCTGTGCATGAGTCACACGCAGCAGACCAAGGCTGTTGTCGCAGGATGAATTATTGAAGCTAGTGAAATATTAAAGGCAGCTTTCATCTCTAAACACRTAACATTTCCCCGCCTGTGTTCACTGCAGACCTGGCTGCAGCCAGCTCAGACATGAAGCAAGGTTTGTGTCAACTTAAAAATGGAAGTAGGGCTCAAAACAAGGACATGTGCAGGAAGATAGAAACACTGACAGCAGAGATCCTACTTGAACACAAGTTCATGGCAAAGGCTCCTAACCTTTTGCATGCCATGTTAGCACACAGTCAAATTTGGGGTATTTCAGCTCAAGTCCATGTCAGCATCCTTCCAGAACCAGCATCAAAAGCCACCAGCCTTTGATGCTGCTCCACGGGGTTGTTCAATTGAATGCAGAAATATTCCAAGAGTCCTAGGGCACTGTGATGCTCCACATTTATTGAATTTCTGATATGAGAGAAGGCAGGAAAAGGCATTGAGTCTGTTCCTCCTTCCCTCCCTTGCTGTGTCTCACAAAAAATAGACCAGCTACAGTGGGAATTATAACATACAGGTCATGACAGGTTTGCTGTCATGCACCATCCTCATGGAAGGACTACATAGAAGCCACCTTTCTGAAGGAGCATGAGATTGTCACCTTTCAAATGAAAAAAAGAAATTAAGATTTTAAACATAACAAGCTTCACTGCTGGTACT